TCAGCCCACATAAGGGTTCGCGTTCGTGATATACTGCGGTAGCTCACTGTTTCGCTAGATAGTCCGCCTCCCCAATGCAATTAGTTCCCATAATGTACACATCTTAGAAAAACTGTGTGTTTTGGCCCCCAGAGCATTTAGGACACTAAAGCAATCCTGTATTTACTAGCTTAGAGGTTATTATGTGGCTCCTCAGTGCTAATAGGGCTGCCAGATTGTTCGACATAATGCAGATATACATACATATATATTTCGAGGATGTGCCTCTTCTGAGGCATTGTCTTTCATAGATCTGGGCAGCTAGCCCTTGGTACCAAATTTTTAAATTCGAAAGAAATTTTCCAGCCCCAGCTTTTCCACTTTCCACCTAAGATTTCATCTGTGTACAAAACCGCTCCATTAGGTTTTGTGTATGGGTTGCCTGCTTTCCAGAGAGCTCGATAAGTACCTCAAATTTCCTAGAGTTTTGACACTATTGCATCCCGCTTTTGCAATATGGACGAATTACATTAGGAGCTTCATGCGACCCGTCGTTATTCCGATTTTGAAGTCGAAAGTGTTTGGAATTCTCAGTGTCGCAATGGTTGCCTGCTTTTCTATTAAAAGAGAAAAGGGAGTTAATCCAACCAAACTGCTGGGTGCATCAGCCGGGATAGTCTCCATTGCTCCTGACAAAAGTCGTCCTATGGTGTACATGGTAGAGAAATCTCGCTAGAGTTATACTGAAATAAAAATTTCCTCTCCCAATTAAGTGTAAATGTAGACAATTGTTACCTCTCGCTCGATGTTGAAAATATCTTCTCAGATTGGCTTGACACATGTCGCTCGGAGGTTTTTTGGGTCGCTGATTACGAATGGGGAAATAAATAAATAAATTAAAAATTGCTGACGATATTTTGAAAACCGATCGGATCGAATGCGGTCGCTGATTGCGAAGACAAACTCATTTGGCTATCAATTTTGGTTTTTAGACTTAAGGATTAACGGGAAAAGGTTCAGTCAAAATATGTCGATAAATTTTGTCGTCACAATAACTATGAATGAAAACTAACCTAAATGCCCAGTACTATCGACTAGAATTAGCAACTCATGACTTTTTTAGCAGGCGAAAAAGGGGATTAAACCACTTTACACTTTTATAAGTTTTTTCCAAAAGATAAATCACATTTGTTCATTACATAAATATTTTTAGAAATAGAAAAATTTGTGAGTTTTATAAAGTACATTTATATATGTATGTGCATTCTTGATGATTGTAACTCTCCATAGCCGGCCATATACATTTTTAAATATTCAATATAAATACTAAACTATCTTGACGCATTATACATATTTCAACTTTGGAGTACCTTCTCAATGGGACGACACTACAGGCGATGGGGTTCTGCAAGCCTTTGATTCAAGTGGAGGTGGTAGGAACGATTTTGAAATGAATTAATCGTAGTTGCGTTTAAAAGAAATGAATAAGCAACAAAATCTGGCCGGATGTGCTTATGTAGCACAGCGGTAGCAAGCTGGATTGGTAGATTAGTAACACGCACCCAACTGCCGGTTAGGTCCAGAAAGAAGCCTGATTAGAAGATTTGACAATGTTCGAGGTAGCAGCGACTTCTGCTGCACTGAGAAGAGTTTAAATATATCTTTCTCAATGCATGATTTGATTATATGAGCAAATCTCAAGAGTTGTTACATTTTTTGACAACAACATGTTTTTGTTGAAAATGATGGTACATCTATTCTAGAAAATGTTAAACTAACCACTTATGCTCATATACCCGTAGGTTGCGTAACACCATACACAGTCATCTATCACGTTTGCTCGCACGCTTTAACTTAAAAGGTCATATTATTTAAAAGTAATTAAATATTGGCGTGGAAGAATTTTACGCAGTATTCCTTATGCACATACGTATTTACTACTTTGTTCATGTATATAAAAAGTTTAGAATAAATTTCGAGTGTGCCAATAAAAATTGTAAAAATGGAATTTTAGTTGCTCAGCTCATAGTCTTCTTTTACTCAATGTAATTTTTTTCATTTAGTGGCACACTAGTTTTATCAGACTAGACTTATTCGTTTTGGCAAGAAGAACATTTTCAACGGGTAATATTGACCTTTTGAAGTATCCTAAACTTTTGTAATGAAAAAATCCTTGCATTTCAAAAATTACATAATAGCTGCATGCTGCCATTATTTCAAATTTGGTGGCACAGTCTTGAAACGTCACAGATATGTTGTATTTGATGCCAACGTTCATTGCCTCTAATATGAACATTCTATTTGAAAACTTCCCAAAGTTATTTAAAAAAAAATATGATTTTTTCGAGTGAAATAATTTGTAATTTCGGTACTTTTTCGTCTAAATAAACGTTTTAAGGCTAAAATTGCTCAAGTGTTTTATTTTTTATTGTGCTTGTTTCTGGAACTCCCCTGATTAAAACAAATGCAAGAAGAATACTTTAGCGTTTTTTTCCGAAATAAGGGAGTGACACTAAAAAAACGACTTGTGAGGTTTGCTCATATGTAGTTATCAGATCGTGTGTTGAGGTAAATACATATGCTTAGTTTACCTAACTAAACTCTTTTCTCGGTTTGTTTAGACTTCTTAAAAACAGTGTACTGAAGTCTAAATAATATCGACTTTAATTTTTCATACAATTTTCGTACGCTTTCGTATTATTATTTTCTCAGTGTATTTGGCTACTGATATTGCCGCTTACAAATGGCTGTCTTCTTCAAACACACACACACACTCGCGCACATAATAATTTACATATTATACCACACAGATACCGGCAGTGTATTCCAATGGATACAAAAAAAAAAAATTAATCATAAAAATTGTTTTACTTTGGAGAGCAATTAAAATTTAAAATAAAACCCATGATATGGAAAATGCTATGGAAAAGTGAATCAAAAACTAAGTAAATAGTAAGTGCAAAGAATATATAAATTCTACAACTGTAAAAAATACAAATTAAGCTAATCTAGTGGAATAAAAAAATCTTAACCAAATATCGGAATATTTATGCGAAGAGTGCACTTCGTCAACGTTGTTTTTTGTTTTACATACATAAATAGTCATTTAGATATATGCAAGTCTAGTCAAACAGATAAAGTTGCGTTATTATTGGTGTCTATTACGTGTTAAATGTTGTAGTTAACTAATTATTAAATACATATGCCGAAATATTAAACTACCAATAACATAAATATATTTACAAATAACTATGTATGTACATTACGAATAAGATAAACTGCCGATGTCGATCACCACAAAATAATAAAATTCTTCAAAAATTTGCAAGAAGTAAAAGAATAACCATTTACAAAAAAAAATGTTGCTAAAACCTTATCATGTGCACAGTGGAAAAGTATCTAATATTGATAAGAAAATCCAATTTCACAGTTGTTAATGAAATTTACAAAAACAGTTACATTAAATTTTAAATTTGTGCGGTAAATCAAAATAGAGGACGGTGCGAGTCTAAATGCGCAAAAGCAAGTATAGCTAAAATTTTAACAGATCTTCAAAAAAAAAAAAGTTAGTAAAATTGTGATTTAGTTTCGAGGAGTCTCATATTGTTTTTGAACGATTCTAATTTGCGCAATTTTTGAGCCAGCGAATTCACGAAGTCGAAATTCCGACGTCAATGGCTTACGACGCGCCTGCGCGCTCACCTAACCATATCACATAACAGCGGCGGGTATTGCCGAATGTCGGATAAATGTCGGCGACGTCGAACACCAGCTTGGCACGCACACAGTTTTAGGTTAACACTAGTTACATTAAGTAGTTAATGAGCATAAAATGGCTACAGTAATAATAAGCAAATAAAATACATACTTATGTACAGATAAGTTTAAACAAAAGTAAATAAAAACGAGAATCAACACAAAAAGCCTTGCATGGTGCTACCAGTAAAAGCGCTTTGATGAGCTTTTAGTCTAATTGATCAAAAAATTTTACGTGTTACTTATAGACTTCATATAAATGTAGTTAAGAAATAAATCAACAATTAAAAATCGATAAACAAAAAAATAAAAAATTTAAAATAAAAAAACTCTTCAACGATGAGTAAAAAATCGTTTACTCACAAATTAGGAGGAACGTATTTCTGAGAGCATTTATCTGTGAAACAAAAAAGCATATTGGAATGTTTTTTGTTGCTTTAATGCTCCTTGAGGTAACAGCAACAAAATCAACTGTTAACAAAATTAAGCAAAAAACTCTTCGAAAACTAGACATTCACCGAAAAACAAAACAAGCTCACCCGCCCTACCGGCAACGACGCAGCTTCGACGCACAGCATTCACTCCGAACCCAAATCCACATTGCCTACGTTTGCGCCACTGCGACAGCAAAAACAGCAACGCAAACTATTAAATTAACACTTAAGTACCGCGCGTCATTGCCGTTATTCCACACCACTTCCCAATCGCTCTTGAACCCATTATTAGGTGCATCCGCAGAGTGTGTGATTAACCCGCGAACATCTGTTGTACGCACCTCCGGTTTATTCAAAGCTAACTCACATACACGAAATTCACTTCGGACGTGGTCTTTTTCGTCCAGCGCGTCCGTTTGTGCACATTCCACACAACTGTTGCCCAGTACTTCGAAGCCAGTTACGAATAACACGAACGTTCATAGGTTTCTTCCTACTCGAACGTCTATACTCGCTTTTTATCGCCGCTGGACGTCGCTCAATCGCTTAATTCGCTCTCGACTTCCCGCCGCCTGTGCGCCGCCTGTGCTTAGTAGCCACTCATTCTGGCCGCCTCACATAACAGCGAAAGCGATAACAACAACTCTGTTAGTGGCAGTGGCAGTGATAAGAAGTCCTTCTCGTTGCATTGCTGTTGCGTGATAGTCGACATAACGCCAGTTTCACAGGCCGGACGTTTGACATCGGCAACAACGGCCTCGGGAAGGGATGTAACCGCTGGCGGTGGGGGCAGCGGTGGCGGCGGCGGTGGAGTTCTCGGCGACGGTGTCTCGCAGTTAGCGAGCAGCCTATTTCGTTTCGGCAGCAGCAAGAAACGCGGCGTTTGCATTTGCAATGCCCAGTGCCCTCTGCAGTCCATGGAGCAGGCACAGCTGGGTCAACTTGACCCGTCATTGAAAACACAACACGGCTCCTTGGATCGACTGCTACAGCAGCAGCAGCAGCAGCAGCAACAACAGTTGCAGCAAGCGCCCCAACGTCCCACTGCTTCAGCCGTGCATTCCATTGGGGGCGTAATCGACGGTGGCGGTTCAGGCGCCCTCCTCGGCTCAGCCGATTCTGATGGTGATGGAGATGATGAGAAGGAGCCCGAGCTACCACCACGTCCACCCTCCCGCGTAAAATCGAACGTGCGACAGATTAAAGAAGAATTTGATCGTGGCGTGGAGGTTGAGAAGTTCTATCATCAAATCAATGGCGATATATTTGAGATCACACGTAGAGTACGCGCCCGTGATGAAGATACCATCGAACAGAAAGTAATCAAACGCAAAGGTTCTGTTCGTTTGCCGCCGGAGCCACCGCCACGACAATCGTCGGCAGTGCACTCGCATATTTACCACGGGCATGGCCATGGGCATGGACAACCGCATCATGGACATCGTCATACGGTCGATACAAGCAAGCCCCAACTACCTCCGCGTCGTCAGAAGAGTGCTGAAGAGGTGCCCGTCTCAAAGAGTGCTACGCGCGCACCGGAAGAGCTGGAATGGTTCGATCGCAAAGCTCAGCAAAGGCATTCTGCACGTTCAGCTGAAAGCGGGCCAGTTCGTGATGATACCATCGAGTGGCTGGAAAGACAAAGAGGCCCGGTGCGCACCTCCTCCGGTCCTAGTGAAATCACTGTGATGAAAGATGAGGTACCCGATTGGCTCCTAGAGCATCTGCCTCGCAAGCGTTCCATGGTTGAAAGACCACTGCCGCCAGAATCAAAGACGAGTACTGCTTCCTACGCAAAGGCACTTAAAGAGGAATTGGCGGAATTGTTGAAGAAACCTTTATCTAGGCAAAGTTCTGGTCCACCCGGCGAGTTCTCGATTCTCAAAACGGATATTGTCGATTGGCTGACAAAGTTGCAATCGTCATCGAGAGGCTCGGCCCGTGAGGAAGCGCCACCACCAAAAACACGTCGATCGCACCATCGGCGTAATGGAAGTGGCGACACGCAACGATCACATTCGCAAGAAGATGCCACTGTCGCACAGCAGGCGGCGCGCAAGCGGCACTCGCTGGGACATAGTGACCGTAGCGAAGAAGAGGTGATTGATTGGATAGCTTATCCGCTGAACCGGCTGCAATCACTAGGTAAGCCTCCGCAAGTGCAGCAGGTGCAAACGATAGACAGGCGTCAGCCATTCCTCGACTTGCATCTCAAACCCGCACCACCGCCCCAATCACAGCTCCCGATAAGCACGGACCGCGAACGGAGATCCCACGAACGATCACGAGAACGCAAACTCCGGCACTCCGCTAGCGAAGTTGTCACTGCACCCACCACCTCCGCAGCAGCGCAAAGTCAGTTGGAGCGATTATATGCAAAACCGCACAAAGAGCGTTATCAGTATGTGCCTAAGGAAGCCAAAGATATGATGTTGCCTCCTAAGGAGACTGCTATGACCACTGCCACCACCGCCGCGATCAGCGCAACTTCACGCGAATCGAAGCGTGAACGCTCGCGCCGCCACCAGACACAACGTTCGGCTACAGTTTCGGACATGTCCGGCCATCATAACGGTGGCCTCAAGCGCAAATCGTCGTCGGCTGAACGTGCACCGCGTTCCCCATCGCCTTGCAACGATCCCGCCTGCCGCTTGCTCCCGATTTGCACTGACCCGCACTGCCGTTTCCTCGAATGCCAAACAACAGGACGCAGCGGCGGAACGGCAGTGACCACATCAGCGTCAACGATGAACCTCGCACGTCATCAGCAGGTGGCGAGGGCTCAAATGCACACAGTGCCTGCACACATAACTTCAGATGACACACCAACGCCACCACCACCGCCTCCAACATTACAACAACAGCAGCTGCAACAGTTCCAAGCACTACCGCAGCGGCGGCTGGTCATATGTCATGAGTGTCGCTCGTGCGCACCATTGCTTACCTGCCAAAATCGTAAATGCTTCAATGCCGCCAAGTGCAACTCACTGCCCCGCAGCGCAGCGGACTTCAATCGGCTGCGCACTACCCTAGCTCAGCCACCAACTACGCTCAACGACATAGAACCGGCGCCTGAGACCCCTTCACCGCAATTGCGGCATCCAGCTATGCAATATCGTAGTAACTCGCAACCGAATACGCTGCAACGTGGCGATTCGGCTGCAGCCATTTGGCAACAGGAAAGCAATGGCGCGGTGGGGAGCAGTACGATGATGGCAACAGGTATTACCCATGCCATCATCTCAAGTTCACAACCACCGCTGCCTCCCTCGTCCCTACACATCGGTTCCATGACAAACGGTCGACACTATTACAACGGTCGTAACGGTACTAGTATGCCTCATCTCAACGGCACCAATGGCAAATTGATGAAGTCCGCATCGGCGGCATCGCTCAATTCGCGAAGACGTCGTCATAAAACGGTCCATTTCGGCGAGAATTTGCTACGCGAAGTTTGTCAAAATCGTAAACTAATCAAAACTGAACAAGTTCCGTCCGGGTCGGCGCCAATGAAGGCCAACATACAAATGCTGTATAATTTTGTAGAAGGTGTGTTGAGCGCATGGGTGGACGACGACGAGGAGCAGGTGCGTTCCGGCGCCGAATCAGAGCCCGAGCAGGGCACCATGGCACTTAAACCCATTTACCGTTGCAATCGACTGCGTTATCAGTGCATAAAACGTATCGTAGAGGAAGCGGCGGAACTGCACGGCACATTGAAGCTGGGAAATTCGCGTTATCGTCATCGACATTGGCGCAGCACAGCCAAGCAATGCAACGAAATGTTTTTGCGTAAGGTAAGTTCATCAAATGGGCGAACTAAATTTTTCTGTTTCGTAAATTCTATATATGTAAGTCAAGCGGATAATAACACAGATGGACTTTTTGGAACAGAATATATTTAACTAAAAGGTGCTTCTAAAATGTGGGTTCATATAAATCTTAACTAGATAGATTATTCGTTTGTTTAACCGTTAACCAGAATAAAATCAGTACAAAGAACGTTTGCAATAAATTTAAATTTTAGGTTAAATTTATTTAAATTTTAATTTAAATTTTAGTTTAAATTTATTTCATCATTAAAATTGTTTACACCTAATTCATCGCAGTTCCTATTCAGAAATAAATTAAAATAAAAGATTTTGCAAATTCCCGACGGACGTATAGAAATATGAACTATTAAACAGTCAGGAAGTATTCAACTTAATTTATCAAAAAAGATGAAAAACATATATTTATTTGAAACCTCAAAAGTAATTCTTTATTTTAGCCCTTTAAAATGACACTAGGAGTGCCGGTATCTGTCGAAATTCGACCATATAATATTTCTTACCGGAAAATCTCCTATCTTGGAACTAAAGCCTGACTAGAATTTTTATATATTTGAAGGTATTTGGAAGACTTTAGCAGGAAGTGTAATTGACCCGATACATTCCTGTTTGTCGATAAATTTCGATAATCCGATACATATCGATAATTAAATTAATTTCAAGAACAATTAAATCCGATAACCCATCTCAATTCGATAACTCCACTAATTTTGATAACTGTGCGTTTCTATAGCTCGATAAATTTCGATAGCTCGAAAATATATGTATATCGATATAAATAGATATCTTGGTAAACTTTGGATATATCTCTAAATTTCGATAAGCAGTGATAACTCGATAAACTTATATATACTTGAAATTTCCATAACCCGATATATTTTGAAAATTCCATAATTTTCGATTCGATAAATCGACAAATTTCATAAAATCAATAAATATCGATAAATCAATCAGTTTAAAAAACCCGCTGCATTACGATAACTCAATAAATTTCGTTAACTATATAAAAAATGATAGTTCAATAAATATCCATAGCTTGATAAATTTCATTAACTTGAGAATTTTCGAGAATCTCATAAATTTTTATGGCTCGACAACTTTACGCAAATTTCGGCAACTAAGTTTTGTTGTCTACAAATTTCTACAACTCAATAAACATTGATCAATTTGAATGATTTCATACGTTGCGATAGATAACTCGATAAATTTCGATAACTATAAACTTCGTTGATTGAACAGGTTGCAACAACAACTGCACACAAGTACGGAATACCATAAAAATTCTCCTCATCTACGGAAAAATACCTTTCCAATGGTGTTCTTGGGATTTAAATCGGTTTGGTGCATTCGCCAAACGAATACGGAAATAATGGATGATAGCGTTTTAATAAATAGATATTTAAAATTGGGCTCACAGAAAAGCTCTGAAAAAATACTAGGTCAATGAAAAAAAAATTGTATTTCTTTAGTTTTATTTTATTTACACTTCAAATAAATTAAAGAAAATAGATTTTAGCGTTCAATCAGCTTCGCTCAATTTTTCAACTACTTGTTTACCTACTAAAATAACTGCGGAAACATACACCCTGGTCACACAGATCGTTTAAAACAGAGGTTCCCAAACTTTTTTTTTTCTCGTAGATCCCTTTCAAAAATTTACTGGTTTCGGTGGACACCCTGCTGATGCATTTTAAATATTCCCAAAGCTCGTAAAAAAAATGAAATGTGATGATTACATTTAACTATGTAAATTTGCATCGCGGGTGAATTCCAAAACTACATTCGGAGTGGCCGAAATAAAACTAAAATATTTTATTTTTATTATTTGTTATTTTTTATTTACTAAAATAATTTACACATTTGCGGATTTTAAAAACTAGAGCTCGTAAATCCATCAAAATACTCTCTCGCTCTGAGGAGTTATATTTTTTAAGAGCACTTCGAGCCCTAGCGATATTTACATTATCTTGACCGTAAATTCATCAAATGTTCGGCTCACTCATGACTTTGTACGTGGAGTATTTGTAAAATAATTTATTTGTGTTGATGACATCATTTTTATTTTTATTGCTCCGAGTTTTAAAGCGAGGCGGAAAATGTTTATCACTCACATTTTTAAAACACAAAACTTAAAACAACAAAACGGCTAAACAATTGAGAAAGGAACAAGTCTAGAAAAATCTAACAACTAAGCAAGCAGGAAGCAAAAAAGTGTTCCACCGTCTTATTCTCTTCAAGGCAGGATGGACAAATGGAGATTTCATTTACGCCTATCGCAGTCAGGTGTTTGTGCCACGTGAAGTGAACAGTCAGCAGTCCAACAAGTTGTCTGCAGTGTCGTCTGTTCAGTGAGAGTAAAAAACTAGATGGACCTACTGAGATTGAAGGTAACATGCCCAGAGATTGAAGGTAACATGCCCACCTGCATCACCTCGATGCCTCCCGTTCATTGCTGAGCGAAGTATTCAGTGGGTGTGTTAAAACTGGTTGCGGTCCGAGGAATGCCTGGTCTGAGCCAATTCTGGCAAAATGGTCAGATGCCCCATTACCAAGTACTCCTGAGTGGTCTGGCAAGCTTGTTATGTTTACCACCATAATTTAGTCGAGACTTGCATTGCCGAACTAGTTTGGAAGTAGTTAGAGGGCTGGCCTTAATGCGTTAAGTGCTGCTTGGTTGTCACTGCAGATGCGTACACTTCTTCTCCTCTACCTACATTCTCTGCCGCCAAAAATTTCCACCGCGTCCCACTCAGTGTTATACCTAGATCCGGTTCTTTTTAGTCTGCAGGTGGCCTATATGGCTTTGCCATGTATGAAAACACAAAGAGGCGGTAAGTGCAGCAGTGTGTCAAGAGCACTATACACCGCCCAAAAAAATTAAAGTTAAATAAAGAGGCTATCAAGCAACCATTTTGGTTTTTTTATTATCGAAACCAGATAAATTTTCGTGGAACCCCACATACAACTCATGGATCCCAATATTTTTTTCACGCCAATGTAGACCCCCGTCGAGTCTTCCATGGACTCCTGTGGGTCCACGTTGACCACTTTGAGAATCACTGGTTTAAAGCATAAAGCGCTGAATGTCTATATACTCAGGTCGCACTTGTCACACTAAATTTTGCGTAATAACATATCATTACGCTACTGAAATAATGAGACAGTTCCCTTTATTTGTTTTCGAGCATTCCATACAATATTTACACCTCAATATTTTTTTTGGATGAAATATATGTTTTTACATTCTTTATCGAAAAAAAGAAGGCACCTATTTTTTTATTTCGTCATTTTTTCGATAAAGAATGTAAAAAAATATATTTCACCCAAAAAAAAAATATTTAGGTGTAAATATTGTATGGAATGCTCGAAAACAAATAAAAAATGTAATCACACGGTCTCACAGACAGTAAGTTGCGTGAAGGAAGTTTAAAGGCACATTCGATGAAAACATTGACCAGAACGGCCAGCTGTTATCTATTGTTTATCAAGAATAAATGCAAATAAAGAAAATAAATTTGACGTCCGCGGTGGCCGATTGATCAGAGCTACCAAATTACCATTATTCCGATATGGAAAATTTTATGGATTTCAATAGAGCGTCCTTAAACGAACCGAACTGCACTAAAATTGTCTTATCGAAAAAAATATTTCCCTTTGGTAATTAATCGATTCATTAATAAAAAGTACATTTGTTTACTTTTTTGTTTTACTTTATTTTATTTTATTTTTTTCACATAACTATGTTAATTTTTTTAAGTCGAATCTTATAACAACGAACAACTATACCTTCAAAAAAAAATTATAATAATTGAACAAGCTAAAACAATCGCGACTTCGCGGCTTGCTTACGCACCGCAACAATTGCCGTCTATCAACGTACAATTTGGTCGGATCGACTGCGCAATTAATTTTTTATTGAAGTTGCCGTCTGTCTATGCTATAACTATACTAATGCATAAATGCAATGTTTGCATAGCAGCAGAACCAATTTAAACTCTAGCAAAGATAACAGATTTCATCACCATAACTCATGTAATAACATTCAATAAAAAAATTCCAATCCTTACAAAGAAGCATGTGAAAATTTATCATATAACCGTAAATATATAGGCTCTGAAGCAAACACACATACATATTTGCCAATAGAATTCCCTACAACTACAATCATAAAACACACAAACGTATGTACAGATATACATACATACATAGGTACTACGTACACATAAGCAATAACAAAATCTCGCGCGATTGTGCAAAATATGCAGAGCATTGAACACTAGCGCTAGGAAAAACCAAATCCCTTTGCGCCAGCGGCAATGGCACCACCATTCCCAAATGCGTCGTCATAGAGGAAATACGCTAAAATATGAATAAAAGCGATGCTGCGAGTATAATAAATGTCGCATTCATTTTTCCACATTTTCTTTTTATAACACTCTTTTCTTTCTACTATTGTTGCTTTTACGCGTTTCCCATTTAAATTTTTGTTTTAGTTTTTTTTTTTCATTTTCCACTTTTTTTTTCATTTTATGAATTTGCTTTACTAGGGCTGTTACGTTTAGCGTTTTGCTCTTGTTGCGGGCTGTCATGTCATTACATGGATTAAGTAATTTCTATGCGAATTATAATGGCGTTGAATGTGCACATACACACACACACAAACATAAACACCCATGGTATATTCAACAGCAAACATAGGAGTTGTGAATTGTGTGATATTCATCCTTTGTTAATACACAGATATGAGTACGTATTCATATACACACGCACACACATATATATACTTGCATAACTACATATATGCGCTTGTGTAGTAAAGCGCTGTTCAATAGTTTCATATAGTCCAATAAGGCGAAATATCCCAATAAATTATAGGAGCTAAATGGTGGAAAATGTTGCGAATGCCATGTAATTCATGGACTTAGCACGAATCCTAAACGCTTCCAATAGAACGTATCTAGCGACTT